GCAGATCGCCGTCGGTGGGCTCTGCCACTCGGTCCAGGAGAAGAGGGCCCTTCTGACGCACCACTCGGTGCGCTTCCGATGGGCAGGTCTGGCGCAACTCCTTGACGGTTACAACGTAGCGCTGCTTTTGTTGCCGGCCCTAAGGCTTACCAGAGAAGTGCTGCGCGCCGCGAATTGCAGTCGCCAAGCGCGCCCACCAGCCTGCTTCCTGATCGCGAATGTGAGTGGCCCGCAGAGGCTTCGGCAATTGAGCTGCGCCGAGTCGAAACTGAGAGGCTTGCCCTCTCGATGCCGAAGGTGCAGTCGCCTGATGATGAGAATGCACGGCTGCCTCGACTGTGCTCGCCCAGCTACAATGAAGAGCGGAAGTGTGTGACGAAGCTTGGACTGAAGCTCCGATCTGACATGATACGGATTGTGCAACCACGGGCGTCGGCTCACAAGCCTTCATAGGAATGAACCCAATCTCTTTCCTCGCAGTCAACCAGGTAGAGAACGGGCACGCAGGCAGGCGCAGGGGGCTCGGAGCGCACCGCCTGGAACGACATCTCCTGGGCCTGTGGGTCACGAGACTCGGTGCGGGGGTCTAAGGTTCGCTCGCTATCATCTCGCTGAATTCCAGATTCGACTGTAGCCGAGGGGTCGGGGGGTTCTCTGGCACTGATTGAGGCGGCAGACATAGGCAAACCGAGAGAGGTGGCAACCCGATCCCCTTGCGCGGGCTGCCCTGACCAGTTGGCCTCGTCGGCCCACGGGTCGGCCTCGGAGATGTCGTCCCAGTCGCGGCCGGGGTGGCAGCTGGCGGGGTCCGAGGCGAAGCCGTCCGAGGCGAAGCCGTCCTCGCCTGGATCTCCCTGGCTGCCTTCCCCATCCTGCAGACGGCTGGTGTCAAGACTCTCTCCAAATCATTCTAGAATCTTCTGATCCCCTTTCTCGCGAGACACTTCGAGAGAAAGAGCCTGAGGCCGTGGCACCTGGGAAGCCTCGGAGGAAGCTTTAAGAAACGTGTGAAACGCTGCCCCGCAGAACCTGCGAGCTCAATGTCGAGTCCCACGTGAGGGCTCCAGGGGACATCGCTGATGGCGCCGACGCTGCGAACATAATGACGCGCGGCAGGGCGCGCGACAAGGTGGTCTAGATGGAAACCTCCTTGCCCCCTTGACTAAGACGGGTGGTTACTGCCGAGCTACAAGAGATCTGCTTTCCAACGCGCTCAAAAAACCTTGTTCGAGCGAGCGGCGTCGGACTCATCTTCCAATCGCCTACGCATGCCCAGGGACTTCTGATCACATTGAGAAGGCTGGCTAACTTACGAAGCCTTAGCACGTTCCTGTCACTGAAACCGGTGGACGAGTGGCCATAGAACACAACGAGGGCAAACGAGAAAGCTTTTATATGCAAGATTAGTGGCAGAAACCAGTCGAAAGCTGGACTGGCATCTGCTCGCAGGCCACGGGCTACCAGCGCAACATCAAGCATCTGCGCAGGCAAATGATTCTTGCAGAACAAAGCTTCACCACCTTCACTGGAATTATCGCACTGTTGCTGCTTCCGCGTAGACTTGCCTCGTGCGGCGTTGACGTACGTCTTCATGGATTGCCCCTTGGCCCGCATCTGCCACTTACGAGACTGATGCGGAAGTGCATGACTCTAACATAATGCAAAGCACTTGAAACGATCACGAACCATCTGACTATGTGCCCACACCTTCTCATTCAAGCAGGTGACGTTGCTGAAGAAAACTTTGGTGGACTCCGATTTGGCGTCGGAGGCCGCGGCGCTGGTGACATCCCCCGATGTCGAAGCTGACCATGTGCAAGTCGTGCTTGCAGTGCCCGAAGAAGCCATGGCAGTACTGGTGGTACTGCAGGCGCCCTGGTGCTGCTCGTGTTAGCAGCCCGCCGCAGTGGCAGTCGAGGTCTCCAGTCAAGAGACCGCGCCGTCTTTGCCGCGAGGGGTGCCACCACCAGGCGTGCCGTCGCCTTTGGTCTTCCCCTTGGTGGCCGCGGCCTGGCTGTCCTCGGGCGTGGCGCCCTGGGCCGCGGCGAAGCCCGCCTGGGAAAAGCGGGCTTCCTTCTTGAGCTGCTCCTCCGCCTCGGCGTTCGCCGCCGCTTCCGCGCTCGCGTCGCCTGACAGCGCTGAGGTGGCCTCCGCCGCTGCCGCCGTCTGGGCCGCGCCCGCTGCGCCGGCCGCCTCCGCAGCAGCCGCTTGCCCATCATGAGCCTTGCGCTTCTTGGCCATGCGCTCCTTGACCTCCTCCTGCGCCTTCTTGGCGCGGTCGATGAACTGCTGCCACTCGTTATTCCTCTGCCTGAACGTGCTTTGGTACGACTTCAGCTCCTCCTGGAGCTTGCGCAGGCTGGCCTTGTCGGCCTCCTCGCAGTCCCAGGTCTCGACGGTCGCGAACATGTCCGCGTTGATCTTCATGCCGAAGACCTCAGGCTCGGGCGTCTCGCCCGTAGCCTTGTGTTCCTGGAAGCCCTCCGCCCTCGCCAAGGCTGCCGTGGCCGCGCGGCGCGCGGCGTCGGCACGAGCGATGTCGAGGGCCGCCTCCTGTTCCTTGCCCTGCGCCGTGGTGAGCTGCTTCTGGAGCCTCACCACCTGCTGTACCAGCTGCTCGTGTCGGTTCTTGGCCGCCTTGAAGGCGTTGTCGGCCTTCTTGACCTGGTCGACGTCGGACGGCGTCGCCGCCGCCCGCTGTGCCTCCAGCCTCGTCTTCTGGGCCTTGAGCACCGCCTGCAGCTCGGGGCCCTTGCACTGCTGGAGCGCCTGCGTCAAGAGCGACAAACCTCGAGCTCGGGCTTGCTGCCGGCCTGCAATAGCTACCGAGCACCGCCGCCTCCCGACTGGTCCGTGGCGAAACGGACGTTCCTGTTGCTCTCGACGCTCGGTGAGCGGGAGGGCGGCTTGTACAGGTGAGCCTTCCTCGTACAACCTCGGCAGCGGCAGTCAGCCAGCAACAGTTGGTCAGATGACTCACATGTCTGACAACATGCACACTTGGACCAATGCCTCGAAGTGCGTGCCTTGCCCATGATTGAAGAAATATTGCGAAATGTTCCCAGCTTTCGTTATCGGAACCTGTGGTCAGGACAGCCTCCGAAATCCCTCAAGCACCCCGTGGAGGTACTGGGACTGGCTCTGAAGTGGGCCGAGTCCCCAAGACAGCCAGGCCCCCCTGTGGGCCGAATCACCTCAGGCCAAATGGCTTGAGGGAGGAGGAGGAGGAGGAGGTGGTGGAGGAGGAGGAGGAGGAGGGGGAGGAGGAAGAGGAGGACGAGGAGGAGGAGGACGAATAATAATAATCATAATAGTCGTAAGACTAGTGAGACTAATAAGAGGAATAAGAGGAATTAGACTATTACGAAGAAGGCACATTAGAAAATAGTAATAAGAATACGAATGCGAATGATAAGACTAAGTCGAACAATGCTATCAATCATAATAATAAACATACACGCCAGTTGTTGAACATATGTATTTTTGGATTCCCAGAACCCAATCTACTTCAAGCGCCGTCCTACTGCAATAATCGATATGCTTTTGCTGTGTTGTGTTATTCTCTGGGAGGACCTGGACCCACTCCACTTTATCAGCCTTCCTACTTTATGTTTTTCCCTACTTCTTCCGACCGACGTGTAAGACTAATAAGAATAGCACGAATGATAAACATATTAGTTATAAGAAACATAATAATAAGACGCATAGTAATATTAATATGAATAATGTTATGAAGAAGGGGAGGAATATTAATCATACTAAGAATGCGAATCAACTTAGTCTTAATAATAATACTAAGACGAATAAGGCGACGACCTATACAATTAGTATGAAGAAGATCAATACTATTCATACTCATAATATCAATAGCAAGAATAAGAATAACCTCTCAATAAATTAATAGGAATCCCAATCATAATATTAATACGAATACTAAGAATACTAAAAAAAAGAAGAGGAGGAGGACAAGGACAAGGAGGACGAGGAGGAGCAGGAGGAGGAGCGAGGAGGAGGAGGAGGAGGAGCGAGGAAGGAGGAGGAGGAGGAGGAGGAGGAGGAGGAGGGGCGTGGAGGAGGAGGAGGAACGAGGAGGAAGACCACCCCCCCAGTAACCCTCCGCTGGCCGCTGGGTGCCTCCGCTCCTGGGCTTGCAGGCTGCCGGCCTCGGCCGCCCGCGGCGGCACGGCCGACGCCGTCGGCGCCGAGGCCGCCGAGGCCGCCGACGGCGGCGAAGGCCCGCCGAGGCGCGGGCCGCCGAGGGTCGCAAGGGCTCCCTCGAGGGCGCGAAGTTATTCGCGCTTCGCGCTTCGCGGTCCTCGTTCCTTCTCCCCCTCCTCCTCGTCCTCCTCTTCTCCCCCTTGGGGGGCGGCGCGAGAGCGCGAAGTTATTCGCGCTTCGCGCTTCGCGGAGCGCGAAGCGCGAAGTTGGGAGCCCTTGCGACAGCGGCGAAGGCCCGCCGAGGCGCGGGCCGCCGAGGGTCGGGGGCCCGCGGGAGAGCGAGGCGGGCGGCTGGTATCGGCGGGGAGGCGCCAGGTGTCCAGAGTGCTTTCACGACCCGTCCTGCAGCACCGTTTGGTGGCGTCGGGTGCGACGCCGGCGGCACATGGGGCAAGACTTGGGGGGACGAAGAATGACATAAGCATAAAAGCTGGGAGGTCCGCGCGGATTTCTCGGATCCGCGTTGGGGCCCCCTGGCGTCGCCTCCGGCGCCGCCCCTGGCGCGCTCCGCGCGCTAGGGAGGGGGTCCCAGCGCAGATCCGAAAACTCCGCGCGGAGCGCCAAGAGTTTGTGTTTATGCAGTTTTTTTCATCCATGTGGTGGCGTGGGGGCAACGCCGGCGGCACGGGGCAAGACTGCTGCTCCTGCGACGCCGAGGACTGGACCCCGCGGCAGCAGCGGCTCGGACGGCCGCGTCTGCGGCGAGTGCTCCTGTGGGCTCGCATGCGTGCCGCCGGCGGATGGCGCCACGACGGGGAGCTCCTAATATCTGCCACAAGGTGTTACTCGCCCTCCTCCGCGGCCGCCTCCTATGGACAGGTCTGTTCCTCAGGCCAACCTTCGCCTTCGACGGCTCCCTGCCCAGTGAGTGCGTCAAGGCGTGGGCACTGACAGGCAGCCCGTCAAGAGGAGGAGGAGGAGGAGGAGGAGGAGGAGGAGGAGGAGGAGGAACGCTCCCCAGCTTGTTGGGTCTTCTTTCTTTGTTTTGCCTGAAGTTGTGCACCGTGGCACTTCGGACTGTTCCGGTTTGGCTGGTTTTGCTGGCGGCGGAGGAGGAGGAATGTGGTGGGGGGAGGAAGTACTGAGGTAGGAGGAGGAAGAAGAGGAGAAGGAGGAGGAGGAGGAGCAGGAGGAGGAAGAGGCCACCCGTCGCCCGCTGCCGCCCGCTGGAAGTGGGCCACTGTTGGACTGGCCTCCGCATGCGGTGCCATGGGGCACTTGGAGGCGGGACCGCCCGCAACGGCTCATGGAGACCTTGCTGCCATCAGTGGGCAGGAAGAGGAAGAGGAAGAGGAGGAAGAGGAGCAGGAGGCGGAGGAAAAGGAGGTGGAGGAGGAGGAGGAGCACGAGGAGGAAGAGGTACAGGAGGAGAAGGAGGAGGAGGAGGAGGAGGAGGAGGAGGAGGAGGAGGAGGAAAAAAAAAAGGGGAGGAGGAGGAGGAGGAGGAGGACGGACGAGGAGGAGGAGGAGGAGGAGGAGGAGGAGGAGGGGGAGGGGGAGGAGGAGGAGGAGGAGGGGGGGGAGGGGGAGGGGGAGGGGGAGGAGGAGGAGGAGGAGGAGGAGGAAAAGGTTTGGGACCAAGACATTTCTGGCACTCCTGGGGAGAGCCAGAGCGTTCTTGATCTAGAACCACTCGGACCCACCTTACACGTTGCTTAGCAGATTCATTGTCCTCTTTTGATCTAAGCCGTGCGTTGTGCCATTGTGAAGACACAAACACGGGAAAAGAGGAGAGTTGGCATCGTCGCCTATGGGCAAAGCGAGGTGCCTGTAGACTACTCTTGCGAGCACTACGGACCACATATATTCTTGCAGCGCATCACTCAGCACAGAATATGGCAAGCAAGGGTGGAGCTCGAATTACGGGGCCTGGGGTACACTGGGATTGTGTGCAGTGTGGCAGGTATGTCAAAGGACACCACTGGCGGTGCCTGTGTGGACAGACGTACGGACATAATCAGCAGCAGCTGAATAGGGCTCATCATGGTTCTGTGTTGCCAGGCGGAGCTCAATTCGTGGCGGCTGGGTCAGGGCGGATTCATCCACGCGACAAGCCCAGAACGACATCCAGGCCACGAGGTACCAACAATGGGAACGACCCAGACAACAAACAAGTAGTGAACACGTATCTCTCTTCCATCATGCCAGCATCCAAGTCAGACGCGGAGTGTTCACCATTCTTCGAGCCAGCCCCGACGGATTTTGAGAGCCTCAAGAAGTTCGAGGTGCAGCTCAGGCAGCGGCTCACGGGTTTGGCAAATTTGGGAATAGCGGGCCGCAACATACGGAAGGATTGCCTTGCCACGGTCAATGAGATAGCAGTGCTGAAGTATATGGTGGGCATGATGGAACCCATCACGAGGCAGCTTCATGAGCTGAAGCAGAGAAAGAGCAACACTATGGATCGGATGAAAGTGCTCGAGGGCAGATTTAGGTAAGTCTACACAGGCGGACATTCAGCAGTGCCAGGTCGAATTGCAGCATTTCAAAACCAGCATCGACGAGCTCGAGGAGCTAGAGGATTCGGGCACCGAGATGGGATATATAGGGGCCGTCGACCGTGGCGGTGGAGGCGGAGGCGGGGCCCGCGCGGCGGCGGCGGCCGCGGCCGAGCGTCCTGCCCCCCAGAAGATCCACGCGCCGCGAGAGGTCACTCGCACACACGCAGCAGGAGCTGCTCCAGAGCCACTTGGTGTGGGGCAGAGTGCGGTACCAGGCCCACCACAGGCCGTGCCGCCACCGATCGGAGTGCAGATCGAGAACATGACGCAGATGATGTCCAATCTCATGTCGAAGCAGAACTACACATAATCGGTACTCAATAATCTTGGGACTTTTGTGATGCAGCAGGCCGCGGCAGCGAGTGCCACTGGTGGGGCGACATCGGGGGGGCCTGCCGCGGCGGCGGCTGGGCCAGCCCCCGAGGATCACATGCGCAAGACGCCGCCAACGACCAAATCCAACGCAGTTCGCAGTCCAGAGCCAGTGGGTGGTCATCCGACGCCAGTTGCACAGACGCCAGCGGCTGCTCCGACTCCTGTGGTACCGACCCCAGCAGCCGCCACCAACTTCGGTTTCGGTGGAGGTGGCGAGGTGCCCTACATGTCGCAGATCTCCCCGACGCAGCCCATGCATCACGCCGAGATGGAGGATCTCAACGTACCAGCACCAGAGGCGTCGGTCACGGGGAGCGCCACGGCCAGCTCGACGCCAGGGAGTGCGTCGTTATCGCCGGAGCAGATCGTGGAGCAGAAGCGCCAGAGGAACGAGCTAGAGGCTGCG